CCTCTTGCATACCTTTTCGACTCGGGGGCGTGTCTTACGGTCGCCCTGACCGAGCAGCTAATCCTAGACTTAGAAAATAGTTTGATCATTTCCTTGTCCGAGGATCGAGCTGTGGTCGACTAAACACCGAGAGCGGGGCGTTATAGTTTTTTTTTGGCCGCCGCCCGTTCATTTCCAAGTGAGGTCGGACCTCATTAAATTCTAGATTGAAAACTTTTTTTTAAGTAATGAAAGAATTTGGGAATTTGAGGAGTTGCTCCGAGTTCTGCACTTCGTGCTTGATCACAATCTTGGTATGCTTCGCTCATAGGATTTGACAAGGTGCCTTGCGCTCCGTACTTGATCTACAAGCTTGTCCGTCGTGGTCCTCAACGCGTAAGATCAATCAGGAGCCATGCACTGAACTTGGCCGTTTGTCCCGGTCTCTTGAGATTGACCTGGATAACTATGCTTCCGGGTCTTCATGTAACAACTCTTCGTTGCAAGTCTGTACCCCCTCGTCAATGGTGCTCCCACCCTGCACCTGGAGCGAGGTGGATATTGACTTTGGAGATGTCGACCCGCATAGGGGGTCCGTCCAACCATGATGACGTGATGAGTTTTTATCTCGGTGTAGGATTGTGTGGGAAGCCTTTAACTTCCTTTGGATAAACTGGGACCGACTCGAGTTGAGTCGTATGAGCTTGGCCAGCGTGATTTTCACCGGTATCATCTAGGACATGCACTCCAGGACAGGGATGTGCAACCAAGCCTCCTGGTGACGATCGTGTGGCCATCTAGCCAGGGCAGGCTTGTGCAAGGGTACCCAATTCGCCAGGTGCTGGTGCGAGTGTTCATTGTGGACGAAAACTTGCCCATGATGTGAATTCTTGTCATCTTCCTCTTTAAGTGATCATGCTCATGGTGCACGGGTGCACGACATATGAGCTCTCTGACGGGCAAGAGTACAACCGTGGTCTATCAAGTACGTTAGTGAGTCGCAGCCGACCACCTAGGCCATCAGAAGGTCTGTGGCATCTTCCTCCTCAATTAATCATGTTCAGTTAATCGGGCCTGTACAACGAAGCCTCTTGGCGGTGTCCGAATGCTCACGTCGCCGGGTTGGGCTTGTACGACCATGCATCCTGGTGACGACCGTGCGGCCGTCTCGCCATGGTGGGCTCGTGCAACCAAACCTCCGGGCCGTGACACTGCATCCACCACTCGAAGTGGGGCTCGCGCGGATGATACCCGACCCACGAATTGTCGATTGGAACATGTTAGGCGCGCAGGGGCGCACGAGCGTAGAGCATAAGGTCGTACACGGTGACAGCTACAACGTGCACAATACTCACTTGATGCTACGCGACTGTGACTTGTCGATGCCAGTAAGTATCTTGAGTCTGAATGCAATGCTTGGTCAGAAAGGATTGAATCAGAGCTCAGCTATCTTTGACTTGGTGCTCTATTGATGTGGAGGCCGTACGAGCGTATGAGCGTACGGGCGTACGAGCGTATCGACCCCGGGTTTGCACTCCAGGACAAGGTTGTGCATCCGGACCTCCTGGCAGAGACTGGCCTCCTGATGGAGATCAGAGGTTCACATCGTCGGGTTGAGCCCATGCCACCAAATTTTTGGGCTGTCTCGAGACCGAGGAGGTTGCATTAGCGTCCTAGCGTTCCGCTGGTCAACCTCCCCGTCTGTTGATAATGAGTCCACATACAAGCTTTTGTGGTATCTTCCTCTTCAAGTCTAAGAATTCAATGAAAGACTCTAGCGGGCGGACGGCAGAGGCCGGATCACCTCCAGAAAGTGCGGCCTGCTACGGAACAGAGCGCATAAGAAGTCGCTGCTAAAGTCCCCTCGACCTGGACGGGCTTGGGCCCCTTCTGGCCATGGCACCCCTTCGCACGAAACAAGATTCATGGTCGCCGCCGCGGTGTCATAGGAGGAGCGACAAAGGTGGAGCCCTCACCATCGCGTTGCTGCACTTGGGCAGCTAAATTGTTGTTACTAAGGTCAACCGACGAGAACTTGTGCAATCCTCGGTGATGCCAGCTACTCTGGTTGCAGCGATGACGCCACGTACTGGTTCGTGTTTGCAGGAACCATCGCAGGGAGAAGGAATACGTGGCCTGAAATTTTCTTCCCCAGGTCTCAAGCGGCCATTAATGGCTGAAGCTTGATGGCAGATCTAGATTTTCGAGAGTAGGACCAATAGGTGAGGGATGTTCCGTATCCGCCGCTGCCGAGGACGTGTGGATGTTAGGAATCCGTATCAACACTGGTGTTCCATAGGGGTCTGGCGCGGAGCCTCCTCGATTGCTTCCTGTGAAACTGGGTTCAAGTCTAAGAGTCCAGCTTTACCAATTTCACTTTTTTTACCCGAAGTCATTTTTGTGTTGAATTCTTAAACTGTAATGAATTTTTCATATGAATTTTTCATAGTTTTGCACTCGTTAGTGCTATCTTCTCTCCCAAGTTCTATCGGAAAAAAATGAGAGATTAGCTAGCTCTCAATGAAAGCACCAATGTTGGTAGAAAATATCTCGGGTAGACAATTTGGCAGCATTTCAATATAGTGAGAATAGCTTACCCGAATACAAAAGGTTGGTGGCCTATTTATAGGCGTATACAACAGGCCCACCAATTAATATGTTACATGGGCTTGGCCCGATTTATCAACTAATACTAACGCTAACGGGCAAGTCAACCCCATAAGTAATTCGATAATCCCGAACCAGTATCTGCTAGCCGGACTATGTTCTGAGCTTGGTCGGGCCAAAACTCAGGTGTAACGGGCCAATATTCTTGGACCCAACCCATTATCCCAACACGAGTCCCCCACTCCCTTAGTCGAGTAGTAGACTCGGCTAAAAGGGAGTAGTTAAGCTATTTTGGAATTGGTCTGGTCATTAACGAGCCTTGAATTTGATCTGGTTGCTTGTGAAAGGATGGAGTCTTCCTTGTTCTGACCGGGAGACCTCTTCCTTTGTACGTTCATGATGACGAGGTGCCTCGTTAAAACCTTACTAGGGAAAAAACCCAGTGGGAAAAAATCCCAGTGAAGGAAAAAGAGTACATCGGAGCCTTAAAATAAAGCAAATAAAGGAAGGTCAATCCCCTCGGTTCTTGATTGAGTGTCTGCTTTACTGGTAGGCCGAGATATGTTCCGAAAAGACCAGTCGTACGATTGTTTGCCAGTGGTGTCGGTCGAGCGAAGGTGTAACGGGCCAATATTCTTGGAACCTGCCATTATCCCAACCCTTCTATTTATGTATCAACTTTAACATAGGTCAATATATTAAATATATAGTTCCACTTAAGGTAAATTAAGATCTAGAACACACAAACATGTATATATTACCTTTTTATTCGTTCATACTGTTTCAACCATTTCCAAATCAAGCATTTGGTCTTGAAATAGTATAAAGAACTTTAGGACATGGTGAAACTCTATTAATGAGTACTACGTATATATTATAATCATACGACACCATATTAGAAGCTAATGGCATTCAACTAATAGATACAAATAACATAATAAAAGGTACGTAATTATAAGGGATGGATGAACCTGTCATGTTTGGCTAAAGAACTTTAGGACATGGGGAGATTTTTTTTTTTTACTGCAGAGGGTCTGGGAGAGGGGGGTTGGGGGGCCTGGAGTAATCAGGGCTGAAACTCAACCCATTGAGTTTCAAACACATGTGTGCCTAGCGGGATTCAAACTCGAGACCTCCCACTAGGCACGGTAATTAACCTCACAACCGGCTGGAATGCTTGGTTATAATAATCTGACCTCTATTAGAATATGACTAATACAAAGTTGGATAATAATCTAATGAGGTATTAGAATACTTCCTTATAATGAAAATTACTTAAAAATTGCTCTAAGGGATTGTCTTAATTAAATCTGAGATAAAGAACATGAAGAACTATTAAAGTTATAAGGCATAGAGAAGCTATTGGCAATTTTAGTACCTGCAAATAAAAGAACCTTAGCTTGTCAAAGGTGATTTATTTCTAGAAATTCATACATTAGATGCTGAAAGTAGGCGAGGTGTTGGAGAACAACCCTGCAATTCCACTCAATACCTTATTAACTCTTTTTCTAAGCTCCTTAACTTGTGACTCCAAGACATCGACAAAGTACATTTTAGAAGTTTTGGAACTAAAAATAAATAGCTTAATTTCATTTGGGACTGCACATATATTATTACTCTACGTAGTAATAAAAGAGTGCTGACTCATTATGAGCAGGGTTTCTATAGTACGTCCAAAAAATGTGAATAGTCTTAATTACCCACATCTTTAACTATAATTGTATAAAGTATAATATTTTCAGTCTCTAAAATGACACTAACGCGTACCTTTTAGAACAATTCTTAATTCTATATCTTAATGATACACATGGACATCAAAATTTGTATATAGTTAAAAAGTTAGAACAAATAGTAAATAGCTTAATTTCATTTGGGGGGCTGCACATAGTGTCATAATCTAATATTAATGAAACTTATCACAATACCTTCTATAAGCTAGCAAAAGAACACTCAGTATATGATTATAATCTAAGCACTAAGAAGGCAAATTGGTGCATGAGCATACATACAGTGTAGCTCCAAAAACAATGTACGATAACAAACTTATGTCTTACATTACAAACTGTCAAGTTATGAAATCAAATAAGAGTACAAATTAAACAAGAGTAAAATAAATTGTTTAAAAATATCCTCAAAGTGATACATTAAAGATGCACAAGTAATTAGCTCATATGAATCACAAGCATTTGCACACATTTGAGCCTATACTCGGGTGTACTTTGGAGCATGAACAGTTCTCGGTTTCCTTTTTCTTTCATAACCATTGAAGTTTTGAACAAAAAATTATCTCCCTCAACCACGCCTAGTAAGATCCTAAATACACCCATAACCTCAAACAGATCAAACCCATAACCTCAAATTGCTATTGTAACAATGCTTTCCTTCTTTCATATGAAGTACATTTTTTGAAACCTTGTAATTCCGATTCCAAGTGAGCAACTTTCTGTTTTCCTTTACCTTTACTAGTCATCTTTCACTTCTTAGCTACAGAACCACTACTAGCACTTTCTCCAGGTCCAACATCGTGCTTCCTCTTACCACTACTGTCAATCGCATCTAATGACATCCCCATGGGCTCAAGTAAAGCATCATCTAGGAATCCAGTTTCCTTTACATTATTTAAATAAGCCATGAAATCAGACTCACTAAACTGTCTCATTTCATGAATATTTTGTGTCAGTTGTTCTAGTATGTAAACATAAACTTCTTCCTCCAAAATTTTAGCTGCATAACATGCATGCTGTCCTTTAACTGTTTTAAATATTGCGATTTCTTTGTTTTCCTACAAATAAACAACACAAATATAAGTACCAACACAATTTAATACCAATACAATTTTTGAAAAAATCATAGATTAGTATAGACCAAATTACCATTGACTTCCGATCCCGAGCCCACCATTCATCATCAGAGTTGCTTGACAAAGTATGACATTCTAGTTTTTGACATTTCTTTTTCAATTACTTTCTAGTCCCCAGTACTAAATGCTTGGTTTTTGCGATGCATTTGCAATGATTCTGTTGTACACGCCTCAAGAAAACTTACTACCTCACGATCTGACCAATTTGCACGTCAAGGCTCATATGAGTCTGTCATATCAGGTATATGTTGCTACTCATCTAATGCACATATTAATGTAGTATTTAGGATCTATGATATGATGTATAAATTAGGTACGTGAAAATATATAACACTTTAACTAATGTTTAATAAATTAAACACCAAAGTAAACACTTTAACGACACGAAGTTCATTTATGCACCAAAGCAACACCAATGACTAAAGTCTGGATTCTGGAACCATTGTTAGGCGTAGATATAATGGGTTGAAATGTTGTAGAAAAATAGTTAGTTGGTTCATGCACGTTCTTAAGGGTAGTCAACACCAAGAACTTTATTGTCGACTGTAATTAACTTTTGTAGCCTTTGGAGAATAAGAGGTAAAATAGGTAATAAATTGGAGAAAATTTAAGGTATTGAAAGTAGTCTGGACTATGGTCAGATTCGATACCTAAACCTAAAATCCACAATTAAGATATTAGAGATTAGAAGAGCATAAAATGTTGAACAAAACGGGAACAAGATTATTTACTTATATATAATTTACAAATACTAAGCAACGAAAACATATGTAAAAGATATAAATACTAATCATTTTTTATTTTACTTGCATTTTATTTTGTACATTTAACTTTTTTAACAGTTGTAGAAGCCAGTGCATATATAATTTCTTATTAACTAATGGCTGAAGAAGTTTCACATGCATTTGGCCTGCACAAGAACCTAAAACCCCTATAAGCTACCATGATAATTAATTTGAAGAACACAATTCTTTACAGATTCACTTCCAATGGTTAATAAACTTAATAAGGATAGTAAGCAATACCTACAATTGACAAATTGAGTTTTGAAACCATGTACTCTGACCATTTTGTATCACTCTCCAGTCTTCCTCAATGCACTATGAGTAATATTAACAGATACAGATGTGGCTTTCTCTAATGTTTTGTGCAGATAAAATAGATTTTAAACCCCACTTCTACACATAATTAGGTCCAAAAAATAGTTAGGTCTATAGGAGGAGCACTACAACTTACTTGGTAGCTAGACACAGCCTTGGCTTTCTCTAATGTTTGTGCAGACAAAATAGATTTTAAACCCCACATATACACATAATTAGGTCTAAATGATCCTACAAGTTAATTAGTACTAGACACAGCCTAGTTTTTTTCTTTTCAAGCAACTAGAAGAAGTCTCATTGCATCCCATTTGGACTTTAAACCCTCCATCTTTTTGTTAGCGCCATCCACCTCAGCCTCTCTTTCTTCAATAATGCAAGCCTGCTCCTCAGCAAGAGCACACACTTTCTTGGTCTGTTTCGACACTTCTCCTCTTTCCACCTTCAGTTGCCGCATCTCGCTTTCAATTTCTTCCAGCTCAGTTTTCAATTCCTTTTCTCTCCTAACCAGCCCCTCCAGTTTACTCTTTATCCCTTCATCCGTTTTCACTAAATCCTCCAGCAAACGCTTCGTCTTCTCAAAAGTAGCCCAAAGATGCTCACTGCCCCCCTTGACTTTACTCAACTCCCTCCATTCCCGCATCGTCTGAGGAAAAGAAACATTCAAGCTCAAAATCTCTGCCACGTGCTCATTGCTGAACAAAGAAAGATTGTGAGCGAGTATGGAGAGTGACTCCAACATTGCAGGTTCATGCTGTGGATCAGCTAAGTCCTCCAAAGGGTATGATATCAGCTTGTCAAAGATTTCTTTTGCAGAAGTTGCACGGTCTTTAAACAAAGGAACTTCACATGGAATAGCACCAGATGCTAAGTTGGACGGTGACTTTGGGAGTGACTTGAGAACAGATTGAACCCGAGAGTACACAGATTCCACAGGATCAAGAGCAACAGCAGAAGAATCAATAGCCTGATCAATCCCAGAGAAATATTGAAGAATCGGTTACATTTAGAAAAAAAGTATAATTAAAATACAACTCAGAACAAAATACAAGTACATGGTCACTGCTGCTACTCCAAAATAGTCAAATACCAGCTCAGTCACTATAATGTATAACTAAATATGACCACGGTCACTCACTCTAGTCACTCAGGGATAAAATACCACTATAGTAAATATCATAATCTTGTTCACTACTTTTATTTAGCCACATATTTGTCATTATTGCAAATGATACTTGACCATATAGCATGTAGGGTTTAAGTTGAGTTTACTTGATATGGGGAAACAGGAGAAGTAGCATTGTTCGTCAGACATGAAGAAGCATCAGGGACATATACTTCAGCTTCGATCAGGCATGTATCATTAACAAGATAACCTTCAGATTCGTTATGAAACTCGCAGAGTGGGATGAACGAAATGAAGCCCCAGTCACTCTCGTGAGCGTTGAAAGCATGTTTGGTCGCTGCACAGCGATGCAGAGAAAACAATAACTAGAGGATAGAAACAGAATTACAACAATCATTTGTCACAACTACTCATTCGACGTAATCATATACCTTTCTTAATGGTTTTCTTTGGGTCTAACTGGTTAATAAGGGCTAGACTAAACTTTGTAGGTATATGCCAACCATCGGGTAATCTAGGCAGGTCAGGCACACCTAGGTATAGAGACAAATGAGCTGTGTCATTTCCCTTTGGATAAAGCAGCAACCTCCTGCAGAAGCCAAGAATATTAAGAATATAAATCGGGTGCCGAATATATAATATAATCTTTATCACAAATCTCCAATTAGAGGCATACCACTTGTACTCATTTAATTCATACACGGAAAAGTAAGGCTTCTCAACATCCAAACGCGAGAAGTTATCGATCCTCCATCTAAACTTTGACATTAGATAGTCATTGGTTTGGTTATTCTCTGAAACACAGACACATTCCTTAGTTCAGCATATACACACATATACACACCATATTATAAACATTTAAACAATCTACCATATGTTACATAAATTAAAAACACTTTCCATATATCCTTTCGTCTGCATTTTGAGAGTTAAATCAAAACATAACATAGTAATTTTCCATACCATGTTCTGTCCTTTCCTAGCTTTTTCCAGGATTCAAACATAGCCAAAAGAATCAAGGTTCAGGAAAATATTTTCTCAAAAATGTTTTTTGGACCTTACAAAGGAAGATCAGAAAAATATTTTACAAGATAACATCTTCGCATACACAATGAGTTTTCAAGACATATTTTTAACCATGTAAATTACTCCTCTACACATGCAATCTTTAGACTACAGAATGACCTACATATGCGCAGGAAACTTAGGGCATGTTTACTAATAGAGACATTTTCCAGTTTTCTTTTCTGTTTTCCGTTCTCCCATTTTCTATTTTAATTTTCCGGTTTTTCTATCTTCAATTTTCTATTTTCATTTTCCAGTTTTCCATTTTCAACCGGTCCGAACAAGGACTACCTTGTCATTGACCGGACAGGGAGAGCCAGGTCGTCAACAAGACCGGACAAGGACCACCAGGTCATTTACCGGACAACACCACTGGGTCGTTGACCGCAACAGACAAAGATGCCCGGGTAGGCGTAAGTGCGCAAATTCATTGCAACATCAGTGCATTTCAAATTTGGAAAACTAGTAAAACTCAATTCTCCAATTCATTAAGGAAAACAGAGACATATGTTCTTGTTGAATTTTGGAAAGTGATTTGGTAAACAGAGACAATTTTTTTCAGTAAACACGTTTTCTGTGTTTTTTTTTACATCTTAGACAAATTTGCAGTGGAATCAGGGATTTAAATAGCAGTCCGCTACAGCTATTGAGGCCGCTATATAGCGGTCACTGTAGCCTCCGCTACTGCTACGGGACGCTATTGCGGTGTGAATTCCAATCATTTGAAAATCCGATACGACGGCTACGCCGCCGCTTCGGGCCGCTGGCCCGCTACACACCGCTGCCGGCCGCAACAAGGCCGCCACCCACCCTAAAGGTGTACTCCAGTTCCAAATGCGTGAATGATCTGTGCATGCAGTCAACTATAATACTTGTGGGGCGGGTGATGGGTAAAATGTTTGGTTTGCATAAATGGGAAATGGGAGAAAAGGGAAAGCATAAAAACCAAAAGGGTACCGATTTTTTGTCTGGCCAGAGCCGCTAACCTCTCACCATTGTTAATCTCACCGGATTTCCTCTTCATCATCGATTTTTGCTCATGCAGAGTTGGCGGAGGGGACTGCTTCTTCAGTCCTTTTTCAGCTTAGGCTTAGGGCGAGAGAGACGGTGGTGATCTTGGCGAAGGTGGCGCTACAGGCGGTGGAGAGAGTGAAGGAGAAGGGGTGAGTGGTGAGGACTGAGGATGGAGCAGGGAGCCAGCTGCTGGAGTGCCGGACGGACGAGGAAGGATATTGTTGACCACTTTGACCCCTTGCAGGAGTACCAGGTGATATACGGAGTATTTGCGTTTAGGATGGGTAAAATGGCTTGTGTGCACTCTCCACTTAGGTCTAATATTCTCGATTAATTTTACACTTTTCTTTTTGTGTCGTCTCATATTAAATTTTATCTTCTTTATTTATTTTATTTGGCAAACAAATCTATATCAAACAGTGTCAAACAGTGTATTATACAGTAAAGTCAAATTTATTTCTTTAATATATGTGAAGTCAAAGCGTAAATTTTATGACCGGAAAGAGTACAAATTAAAAAAGGATTCCAGTTTACTTTTACAAAAAAAGGATTACATCCAAGCAAACTTTTTACTTTTAACGTTACACAATTAAATTTACCCTCTTTTTTCTCCCTCCTTTGTCTTATGTTCTGTGCCCCTCCCTCCCTTCCCTTCGCGCAATCTTCTTTCCCCTTTAGTTCTTTGTTCTTCATCTTTAAAAGATAGCTCAATTCTTGGAGGTCTTAATTGGCATAAAAATTTTAGTGACTACTTTTTCAAATGCGAATTTGCCTTTTTCATATGAAGTATTTTTTCCCAGAAGCTTGTTCATATGAAGTATTTTTTCCGTTTTTTGTGCATTAAGAGTCACAATTTTGTTTTTCGATTTATTTATGTAATATATGTTATAATGTTGAATGTTTATTTACATTCTGTTATCTTGTCATAGATTTGCGATGGTAGTAATTTAAATTTTTGTTGAACTATTCTATTTCACTTTTATGCTTATAAGGTGTTTGTTGAAACGTTTCAATGATTTTATTTATTCCTATCCATGATTTTGGGAGTTCATTCTCCTTTTATACTAACTCGTATTGTATCCGTGCGATCGGGACAATAATTTTCACATAATACATATTTGTATTCATTTAAAAGCGTGCACATATATGTCTCCACGACTCATGGAGCTAGTGATACAAAAACATGTACATAAATGTGTTCTACATACATCACATCTAAAAACAAATTAAAATAAAGAGCGTTGAATATCTATGATCAATCTCGTTTTAAAATTAAACATGATTTGGGGCCTGTCGTGCTTGCTGTTGAAATTTGGATAAGCATAGCAACGAACCAATTTTACTCTTAATTCCCAAATCCCAATTGGTCCTTGAAGTGTTCGACTCAGAGATTCAAGCAGACAAAATCTTTGGAAGGCATCTCTCTCACTGCAGACTGAACAACATAAAGAAACTAACTTCAAGCAAATAGCGATGCTTAGCAGTTGCATTTGTTATGCCGTGTATTTTATAAGCATGTTGGAATTTTTAGTACAATGTAAAGGGGAAAATGTTTTCCTAAAATTATCTTCATTCTTTCCTTTTCGATTTGTCCTGAATTTATCTCTTCTTTCCCTTTTTAGCAAAGAATTTGTGGTTCACAACCATTCCTACACATTGCTCTTTCCTCTGCACAACTCTCCATCATACATTTCCCATTATCTTAATATGTGTCCAATTGTACTTGTGAAGATAAATATGGGACGGAGGGAGTACTTGGGAAGACTAGAAGGTGTTTGTTAGAAGGTTTCCAAATTTTCCAGCTTGAGGACAAGCTTTTTTAAAATGCCGGAAATATTGTTACAGACTATTTCTCGAAGATAAAATTGTCCAAAATAGGACCAAAACTCAAGCTTTTTCCCAAAATAGGACCACATTATGTTTTCCCTAAATAGGACTAACCTTACCTTTTTTATCTCTAATTCTATTTAATTAATAAATTGATCTAAATAATATTCCTCTCTTCACATTTTAGTTGAGTTCAGCTCCTAGTTTCCATGCTTCGTTCCATTTTTGTCTTCTTCACAAAATTCTTCAGTCAGATATCTATATCCGATAACAACATTAGAGTAGAGCTTTAGCTCCGGTAACAGATCACCACTCAGAAGACACATCCCGCCCTTTTTCTTCCACCTTTCTAGCTTGCAGCATAGCAAGAGAACAAACTTGCTTTGTGCTTTGACAATTTTTCTCTTTCCTCCTTGAGCTGTCCAGGATTGCTTTCAATATCCTTCAGCTAAGCTTCCAATTCCTCTTCTTTGTCATGAAGATCCTTTAGTTTGCTCTTTAGTTCCTCCTCCCTTTTCACTAAATCTTCAAGCAAATTTTTTGTCTTCTCAAAAGTAGAACAGATTTGCTCACTAGTGTCCTTAACTTTAATGGAGTCTCTCCATTCTCGCATCATTTGAGGAAAACTAGCTCTCAAATCCATAATTTCTTTGGCCTGTCCATCAGTAAAGAAAGAAAGGTTGTCACTAAGTATAGAAAGAGACTCCATATAACATGGTGTTTCTTTGGAAAAATGCCGTTTCAACCTAAAAATGACTATTTGATCCATTTTAGCGTTTTCAATAAGTGAAAACGTTGTTTGGTTAATAGATGTTCGGCCCTAGCATTTTTTTACAGAACCGATGAAATAGAAACACTGCTAATAGAAGAGTTTTGAGTTAGCATTTTGAAATATGATGTTTTCCACTAATTGTTATGGCCAAACATCTAAATTATCAAACATCTTCTGCCAATCTGCCAACTTATTCCGCTAATCAAACCCGCTTGTTGGGTTAATGGGCCCGATCGTGGCCCGACAAAGCAGATAAAGCAGATAAAGCACCAGGGCCCAATCGGCGTGGTCCATCCAGATTACTGGAGGACGAGCGTCAGATACCTCAAGACACTTGACCTCAATGACCTTGTCCAAACAAGGAACATATAACATTTCAGGATCTACAACCAGGCAACTTGCATAGGCCGTACAGATCTCGGCCCTTGCACTCATCAAGATCCGGGGCCCAAAATCCGGGGATGCTCGTTCGCAGCCTTGCCGGGAAACCAAGATATTAGTGGGAGACGCATTTAATGCAGTAGATTTGGTGGTTGGGAAGCTAGCCATCCACAGTCCTCCACGTCAGCAATACTACATACTCCTTGGTAGTATAAATAGTAGCATTTATTTAATTGTAAAGGGTTGACAACTTATTCTCTCTAGCAAATAGCAATTATCTTAGCTCTTAGCATTGAGGTAGACGAACGACCTCTCAGCTAGTAGTTGAAGTGTGTTGTATACGGACCCTTATTATCATTTAATAAGATATGGCCCACTTACTACTCTCTTATTGATCCACCTTGCTTGCATCGTAAATCCATTAAACACCCCACTCGAAATCCAATGGAAACATGTTGGGCCTTTGGGTTGAAGTAATAAACCTCAACACCGCTGACTGAATTCGCTATTGACAATCTGCTAACATAGTCCGTTATCAACTAACCATTACATGCCAAACTCGCTCTAAAACTTGGACATTGAGATATTCCTTACATTACATGTACACTTTATGGATTAAAATGATAAACTTACTAATTTGGGAGACTAATTAAAAGGATGCAAAGATTATAGTTCAACGACCATCTATACCTTTTACTACCTCCATCTCACTAACATTGGTGAGACAAGGTGTGACACGGTTATTAAGGACAATATGTTTATGTGATTGATATTGAATTGATAAAGTAAGAATATAGTAAAAATTATTTAGAACCACACAAACTTTATCAAATTTGGTATGAGACGATCTTAGTGGAAATTCTAAAAAACGAAAAATGGGACAATCTTATCATAACAGAGGGAGTCATATCTATTTTCGTTTGACACGGGCTACAAGAAAATAAAGTTGATGTTTGATATTTTAAAATTGTCTACAACAACAACAACATCCAAGCCTTAATCCCAAAAGAATTTGGGGTCGGCTAACATGAATCGATCTATGATATCAATGCCAAAAAGAATAAAGGGAAGAAAAAAAAAGTAAGATAAAATGAATAAAATAAAAATAAATAAAAGATAACAATAACACAAGAATATAAGAAAGATAAAAGATAAAAAATAAAAAAGCATAAAAAACCTAGAAGATAAAAATAACATAAGTATATAAAAAGATACGGAAGATAAACGATAAAAGAAAAAAGAGAGGAAAGGTAGAAAAGACATCAATCGTCCACACGGATGTGCGCCCTCCACTTTTCTCTCTCCAAAGTCATACTCTCATCCAACCCAAGAAGGCGCATATCAGTTCTGATTCCTCTAATCCAAGTCTGTTTGGGTCTTCCCCTCCCTCTCTTATATGCCTCTTCTCCCCACCCCTCAAGTCGTCTAACAGGTGCATCACTCGGTCTTCTACGCACATGCCCAAACCACCGCAAACGAGACTCCTGCATCTTATCTTCTATAGGTGCTACTCCCATCTTTTGTCTGATTACCTCATTTCTCAAGGGTCTTTTCTGGTATATCCACACATCCAACGCAACATACGCATCTCTGCCACACTCATCTTTTGAATTTGGCATCGTTTCACCGCCCAACACTCTACGCCATACATTAATGCCGGCCTAATTGTTGTATGATAAAATTTACCTTTTAGTCTAGTCGGCATACATCGATCGCATAGAAATCCTGAAGCACTCTTCCATTTCATCCACCCAGCTCTGATTCTATGGCATACATCTCCATCTAATTCACCATACTTTTGAATTATGGAACCCAAGTAATGAAACATATCACACACCGGTATCTCCTTACCATCAAGAGTAATCCCACTGTTGCTACTACTTCTACCTCCACCGAACTTGCACTCCATATACTCAGTCTTGCTTCGGCTCAGTCTGAAACCCTTTGTCTCCAATGTTTGTCGCCATATTTCCAACTTTGCTTTAACACAGGATTGTGTCTCATCAATCAATACAATATCGTCGGCAAACATCGTGCACCACGGTACATCTTCTTGAATTGACTTCGTAAGTTCATCCATGACTATAGCAAATAAGAAAGGACTCAGAGCAGATCCTTGGTGCACTCCGATAGTAATAGGGAACTCTGCGGTCCTCTCTACACTAGTGCGGATACTTGTAGTACAAGCATCATACATATCCATGATGATACTGATATACTTACGTGATATGCCTTTTCTAGTTAAGGTCCACCAAAGAACTTCTCGAGATACCCTATCATATGCCTTTTCTAAGTTAATG